TTAAGACTGTTACAATATACAAGAGAGATGACCAATATGGTTAATATGTAATTAATAGTTAAGCCTGTTATTATATACAAGAGAGATGACCAATATGGTTAATATGTAATTAATAGTTAAGCCTGTTACTATATACAAGAGATGATCAATATGGTTAATATGTAATTAATAGTTAAGCCTGTTACTATATAAGAGAGATGACCAATATGGTTAATATGTAATTAATAGTTAAGCCTGTTACTATATACAAGAGAGATGACCAATATGGTTAATATGTAATTAATAGTTAAGCCTGTTACTATATACAAGAGATGGTTAATATGTTTTCTACCAACATGTGGCAATATGTTAGGTTTTTAATCAAGAGACTGAGCATAAATTCCACCAAAATAATACATTAAAATAAAAAGGCAACCTTAACTTTATGAAACCATGTTACTTACAGGACCAGCCTTTTTGCTTGCCGAAACTGTGAAATCTGGGCAAAATAACAAGTCCTGGAGATGACAGAAAAAAAAACAATCTTAGAACTGAAGACATAAAATTGTAATATTAGGTAAATACTGTGTAAAGTTTAAAGTTTCTCTCACAAACAAACATTGAACTAAGGAAGAAGTGAGAATATTGAAATTTGTATCCAAATACATTTGGTATTGTTCCATTATTGTGGATTTAAACTTTATTTTACACAAGATTGATAAGCGATGATGCATTCATAATAAAATACAAAATAAATTTTTAAAAATAAGACACAATAAAACTGCACTGAAAAAAAAAATAGGAAAAGGAATAATAGGAGGATCAGGTGTCAGGCTAATAACACCTGAAATATGTTATGATGAGGTGGCAGGCTAATAACACCTGAAATATGTGATGATGAGGTGTCAGGCTAATAACACCTGAAATATGTTATGATGAGGTGGCAGGCTAATAACACCTGAAATATGCTATGATGAGGTGGCAGGCTAATAACACCTGAAGTATGCTATGATGAGGTGGCAGGCTAATAACACCTGAAATATGTTTTGATGAGGTGTCAGACTAATAACACCTGAAGTATGTTTTGATGAGGTGTCAGACTAATAACACTGGAAACATGTTATGATGAGGTGGCAGGCTAATAACACCTGAAACATGTCATGATGAGGTGGCAGGCTAATAACACCTGAAACATGTCATGATGAGGTGGCAGGCTAATAACAACTGAAATATGTTATGATGAGGTGGCAGACTAATAACACCTGAAATATGTTATGATGAGGTGGCAGACTAGTAACACCTGAAATATGTTGGCTAAAGATGGTACACTGAACTATAGAAATTATAATTGTTCTAATATACAATAAAAAAGTAATCCAACAATATGTTCCTACGTTGGGAAACGATAATAGTGATTACTATATCTAAATCAACTGCCTATATTTTTCTTTAAAAACTATGAGGGTTTACAGGTGAAAAACATATACATTTTAACTAAGTGATCCTGCAATGAAAATAACAGTCACAAAATTCCTGCACCAAACAGTCAATTTTTTTCCTGTATATAACAATTATTTTTTAAGAATTATGAAATTGCACTTAAGGAATATTTGAACCAATTAATTATCAAAACAAAAACAGTTAAATAATTAATCATGCTTTCATTAATTCTATACAACCTCTCATCTCAACAATCAACCTATCATTTTTCTAACCTCTCATCTCAACAATCAACCTGTCATTTTTCTAAGTGGTTCAGGTTGTAACTTTGAATGATTTCATTAATTCTATACAACCTCTCATCTCAACAATCAACCTATCATTTTTCTAAGTAGTTCAGGTTGTAACTTTGAATGATTTCATTAATTCTATACAACCTCTCATCTCAACAATCAACCTATCATTTTTCTAAGTAGTTCAGGTTGTAACATGCTTTCATTAATTCTATACAACCTCTCATCTCAACAATCAACCTATCATTTTTCTAACCTCTCAACTCAACAATCAACCTATCATTTTTCTCAGTAGTTCAGGTTGTAACTTTGAATGAAAATTTTCTTAGATTAATATGCAAATAAAGTAGAAAGACAATACTCACACATAAAGCTGTAATAAGAGACTGAGCCAATGGCATATTCTCAACCTAAAGCAAGGAAAACATTTAATTAACCACGACAGTGACTTACAGAAAATAATCTTATAAACCCAAACATAAACTCTGCAAGGATTGTACAGAAGAACAAACAAAATTAACATAGTTACAGCCTTTCTAGTAGGCCTGTCACTGATCTCCATATCAACTTTCAATATTAATCCGATGTAAAGAATTCTCGCGATTTTTAAAAGGATCGTATCGGTAAATTTGTTTACCTATGAAATACGCAGTACATTAAGGCAATTTACATTTTGTACTCCAATGAAAACGTGTCCTTTTTGTAGTCTAAATGTGCAATTTATTTGAAGATGAATTTTGAAGCTTGGCACACACCACTAGTATATATATACATTAGGGATGTCAGGACATGCAGAATACAGATTGTCCAGATCCAATCCCCATATCGGCTGATCTTGAGCACATCGGTACAGTTACAATATTTCACTCAGGTCACAAGCTTAGTTTCTAGTGCATGCTAAAATGTAAAACAAGACTATAAAATATAACACTAGCCGTAATGACAATTTTTTTTAATGGATTTAAAATTCCTCCTTGATCTATTTAGAAAGTTATTTTTTTTACCTAAAATCCACAAGAGTTGAAATATACAAATGTATTACATCTCTTCTGATTAAGTTATCAGATTTTAAAAACATTTAAAAGGAAAATTTTCTTGCCTCCTAAAATTAAAAAGTACTAGTTTTCTACAATTGTAAAAAAATAAACTTTATGAAAAGTATGTAAAATTATTGAATTTCTTTACGTACATTTGTACCCGATTTTAAAATCTTATATTTTTAATTTTTTACTTAATTATTTCTTTTATTCCACCTATTTACCCAGAGTTTATTGCACATTCATCACACAAACACAAGTCTTCAACTTACAGTTAGAAAGGTTTACAAATGTCTTGCTGTTGTTAGTTAAACATTAACTCATCTACTACTGTGATGGTGTCACATGACCTCCAAAGTTGGGCTTGTTTATTTAACTGAAATTTAGGGGAAAAAAACTTACTTGTATACACAAGATCTGTGCAAGGCAGCCCAGAGTGTATATTGTAGTTCTTCACTAAGGCCAGATTTCAGTTTATTTATGGCCATTGTGTATATTGTAGTTCTTCACTAAGGCTAGATTTCAATTTATTTATGGCCATTGTGTATATTGTAGTTCTTCACTAAGGCCAGATTTCAGTTTATTGGTCATTAGAGTGTATATTGTTTTTTAATTTCTAACAAAACCAAAGAATACATGATTACCCCATAACTCACTATCGGTAAAGTTTTTTAATTGTTAACAAAACCAAAGAATACGTAGTTACCCCATACCTCACTATCGGTAAAGTTTTTTAATTTCTAACAAAACCAAAGAATACATGGTTACCCCATACCTAACTATTGGTAAAGTTTTTTAATTGTTAACAGAACCAAAGAATACATGGTTACCCCATACCTCACTATCAGTAAAGTTTTTAATTGTTAACAGAACCAAAGAATACATGGTTACCCCATACCTCACTATCAGTAAAGTTTTTTAATTTCTAACAGAACCAAAGAATACATGGTTACCCTATACCTCACTATCGGTAAAGTTTTTTAATTTCTAACAAAACCAAAGAATACATGGTTACCCCATACCTCACTATCAGTAAAGTTTTTTAATTGTTAACAGAACCAAAGAATACATGGTTACCCTATACCTCACTATCGGTAAAGTTTTTTAATTGTTA